GTTTGTAATTATGTAGTGATTTAGGAGTTTTCTAGTGTACGTTATTGTTTTAAATTTATGTTATGCTTAACCCTTTTTTTAATAGATTAAACCTCTCCGACACGGTAATTTGTTCTTCTGCCTTTTAAAGTTTTTTTTTAACGTCTCTTCTTTGTTTTTCCTTAATCTGTTTTAAAATTTGTTCTTTTTGTTTTTCACAAAATTTTGATCATCCTTATTGTTATCTGGATAAATTATGGTATGTGGATTGAAATATCTTCTAGCGTTGAAAGTTTAAACTTATTGATGAGTAACGAAATCTGTTATGTTCTTTAGCATTATATTTGCATCCGTGTTAGGTAAGACAAGCTTATAGAACACTTTTATTATTGGAATACAGAAAATAATAATTATTTTTTTTGCTAAATGTACAGAAAATAAATGATCATTACAATGTCACCGAATTTGTTAGTATTCCATTTTATTGAAATTTATTGCCTCTAATTCATAGAAAGGTTATGAAATTATAAGAAACTTAAAATCACATGATAATCAGGGATTTAAAATATAAAATGATTTGTCAAATATGAAACAAAACCAATGGTGAAATTGCATACATGTAATCAAATTTTTGTTTTAGATTTAACTATAAAATTTACGAACATATTTGTTCTTAATTGTTATGAATATCTTTACAAATATTATATAAATATCTAGAATAATCGAATGCACTTTGACGTGATTGGAAAGAATAAAAATTGTTGAGATGACATTGTGTATAATATTTATGTAAATGCTATATTTAAGAATTAAAGTGACACAAAAATACGAAAACCAGATGTATGTGGTAAAAAATATGAACAAAGCTAAGAGCACCTCTATCGGAGGTTACTCAAGTAAGAAGAAGTAGGAGAGAGAACCATGAGAGTCTCTCATTTGAAAAACTTTGATAAATTGTTGAGAGACTGTTCTAACAAATGTCATTACATGACTTGGTTAAACTATTTTGTAACTTAAATTTAATTATATAACTAAAAATATTAATATAATATATGATGAAATACTTAGAAGAACATCTTACCGATGTACATGCTCTAAGAAACTAAAAGAGCAGAGAGGAGAAAAGTTTATGTATATCAATATGTGTGAATTTGGAGATTAGATGATGTTACTGTTGATGTGATTTTATTGCTATAGAATCAAGCTAAGTGTTTTTTAGAATAATACATATCTAAAAGAAAAAAATTGAAGATATACTCTTAGGAGTGAAAAGAGTGTTGACTTTAAAATATGATAATGTAGTAAAAACTATCGCTAATGATGTGAAAAAGAGTATGTGGATGGTTGTGGTTAAAAAATAGTTAAAGATTTTTAAAAGTGTTAAAAAAAAAACCTAACTCGAACAAAAGAAAAAGGATTTCAATATCCTATAGAAAAATGTTTCTCACCACTTACCAAAAAAAAACATCGTAAATAAGCAACTGTATAATTTTTTTGGAAAGAATGCTTAAACATATTTGAAAACGAAAAAATACAAAACAACC